TGCTTATAAAATTTTAACGGAATTCATATCAATTCCATCTCTATCTCGTAAATTAAATCTAAACTTAAAATTACGTATTTTAGGCTTACCCAAAAAAGTCCAACTGACAGACGCAAAGAAATATAATTGATGAAGATCAAAACAACGATTTATCAAATATAAACTTAACTGTTACACTAGTAAAAAAATTGGACAGCATGATAATAATTATAAGATTTTGCTACTTACTGACTGAAACATTCTTAACCAGTAAAATATTAGCAGGTATCTAAGTAGTAATTAATGATTCGTTAGCTTTGAATTAGTAGTTTATGTAGGTAGCTAGTAACACTACTATTATCTATATTTGTTAGTAAATATTCAGCCTACCCTGTTGGAGAATAAGCTATATTTTATTATGAGACAGTAATTTAACATCGTATAGTAATACAATATTTAAAATAGACGTACACTTGGGATTTGACCGGATGCAAATCCTATAGGGACAATTCTACCGTCCATTGCAATACTATTAGTTAAAAAAGAAATAACAAAAATTTATCATAAAGTATATCTATGAATAAAATCAAGTAAATCGTATCGATTTTCATTTTATCGTTATAACTCAGATATAGCACAATTATAAGACGATTGATTGAAATATTCTCTCATATACATTCTCTAATATCATGGATGCTACTTAAGTCTTATACGACAAATCTTAAAATACTTGCTCTAGTAAAGTAGTTTTAATTTTATATTGTATCTCTTATTATACAAATAAGTTATAGAAACTCTTGATCTACATGTAAAACGACCAAATTGCAGTATATCGTAAACGCTATTTGTAATCTCTGACGACAGTGTAAGGACAGAATAAGACTATTTTGATTTGGTAAACATATTCTCTGGTTATATTACAATATAACAAGATATCGTAGAGAACTAATGTTGTAACACTACATGGTAAAAATTGATCGATCTCGTGATGTGATGAATATAATAACTCTAATATACGCGTATAATGTATTCGAATAGCTTATTTAAGTCTTGTGATGTTCCTACATAGTATATTCCATTCTATTAGGCCTCCATATGACCAAGATTATTATGAGCTGTCCAGTCTAGAACTTTTCATAGTGCTATTTATGTTTATTTATAAACTAATGAAAATAGACCTATGCAAACTTAATCAAGTAATTTCACAATCGATAATGATGTAGTAAACGAACAGAATTACAGCTATAGTTTCTACTCATACGTCGCCAATATATGAAAAGCCTCGTTTGATTATGCAGTATATAACTTATCAGACGGTATTCGATCTAGCTAAAATTGAATATTATGATATTCGATATAAATCTCTAATGTTTTGGACTACATAGGTAGGTAATTTGTAATTATTTTTAATACTGTAAAATACCTGCGCAATCCGATCTTGAACATATCACCTCCTACGTTATCGATCATAACGTTTACGCCTCTCTTATTGGTTATCGCTAAAATCTGTAACAGTAAGTAATAATGAAGAACTTATATGCTAATCAATAGTGCCAAATAAATAGTATATACTTTGTAAACTAAAGAGTATCTTATATAATTTATTGAAATACGAGTAAATCAGATTTGTAATCGATTTATATTAAATTTTATACATAGAAATTGTATACTTCCTTATACCTCTTTTCTTACGTCCTGCTTTCGGTGATTAATTACATAGGTAGCGCCTCTATCCTTAGCCAGCTCGATCTTTTCATCATCTCCAACTATAGCGATAACTTTAGCTCCGATTACATTAGCAGCAATGTCTACAGCCGCTAGTCCGACACTACCAGCTGCTCCAGAAACTAGCACTGTTTCTCTACATCGTCATAATTAGTCATAATTATATTATCCGTTATAACTATCTTTAGTACTTTATAATAATAGTACAATAAAAGGAATACACTATACGATCTATACCCTATTTGAGTACCAGCTTTAGCTATTAATGCCATATGAGCAGTTCCATATGACGCTAAGCCTGCGGTTGCATCTTGTAAGCTGACGTTATCGGGTAATTTCCATACCGACTTCAATTAAGTAACAAAATAGTTAAATTTAATGTCTACTTGTGTTATTTCATTGTAACTAATGCAATTGTATTCTTTCTTATACTCTAAAATAGTATGCATGAATTTACCTTAGCATAGTTAACACACTCGTCCGCATATCCTCCTAAACGCATCAGAGCGATAACCCTATCTCCCTGTAGTAAAATACAGTTATTCATATTATTAATATTTTTGTATTAAACGGCACTAGTATAACACAGTTTTCAACAGTACAGTCTACCTAACTTTACGATAGTCTGACCTACAGTAAGATATGCAATTATGTATGGCACAGTACAATCTTAATCAATCAATCGATAATATATGAGGAAATATTACTTTCTACGTCTAACTTACGATTTGATATCCGGTTACATCTCGTCCAACTTCTATGATAGTTCCTGCAGGTTCACATCCTAATTATCATGTAATTAATCAATTTTTAAGCTTGGAATGTTAAACAATTTATAATAGTAGACATAAATCTATTAATTGTACAGTATATTTCAACCTGGAACAAAAGGTAATTTAGCACGTTCTTGATATAGTCCCATCGATTTTAGAATATCTGCATAATTGATGCCACAATATTCGACTTTTATTCTCACCTGTATAAAATAGGAGATGGAATTGAAGATTACAGTAACTTTATCTTTACTGATAATAATTAATTTAAAAGTTTCTAACTGGCTAATCGTTTCTCTCGTATTATCTTGCCATAATTCAATTTATTCGTGTACAATCGATAAATTACAGCAGCTATCCACTATGGCATTACTTATCGTATGTAGTAAGATTAAAAGTACTGACAACTCTTACAGACTGATTTAATTCACCTAACGTGAATGCACTAGATACAGTACATCGATTACAGAACTATCACTGTCCCTCATCAATCTCATCATTTCCCTCGTATTATCCGGCCATAATTCAAATTCATTCGTGTATAATCGATATGTTAGATTATAGCCGCTACTGACTATGCATTACATATCGTATGTAGTAAGGCTAAAAGTACTGACAACTCCTACAGACTGATTTAATTCACCTAATATGAATGCACTAGATACAGTACATCGATTACAGAACTATCACTGTCGTTTATCGACCTCACTATTTTTTAATGGCTGACGAGGTAAATCTTTCACAACCAGAGGCTTCTTCAGCTCTTCGCATACTGCCGCCTGATACGAGTTACCGGAGGTATCGACCATTGATAGATTTGTCTTGGATGCAGACCTTAAAAGATATTCAGGAGGTGATGATATTGTTGGTTGTTCTTTAGTGGGTAACGCCATTGTTGCTTATGGAGAGAAGCGTAGGCTTAATACCGAATTAATAATTGACTATCACAAGATCAGTTAACTTTATTGACTAAAAATACTATACACACCCTTAATTTTACGTACTTGCCTAAGTCTACGTGTCACGTTTGTGTTACTCGACTCCTTCACAGTCAGGGCTTGAGCACATCTCCTGTTTTAATGTCTGAACTTCTGATGAATAATACTAATTAATTATTTATTAATGTCAGGTGTCTAGTTAAGAAAAAAGGGTCTTAGCTAAGGTTTGTTTTGGTGCATATTACAGTACAACGCATTATGCACTGGATCAGATCAAAGTTCTTTTCATCTTTATTTACTTTAAGTTTGAAGATGTAACCTGGAGATTCTAACCAAAACAGAATCAAAGATCACGTTAATTTACGTATATT